GTCCAGTTGATCAAAGTGAGATCTCTGCCAATTAGCTTCCCTCTCACACCTCCTATTTGCCAGAATAGTCATGAGCAGACAAATCAACTTTTACTCTTGAATTAGTTTAATAATGTTTCCTCTCTGGGAGAGAGTAGTTAATTATACATCATTTATCGCCTCCACAGTATCTAGCAATGCTCAATCACCTCTTGGCAGTAACCAGCCATTCATCACCAAGAATTTGATCCTTGATCCCATTATACTTGATTCTATAGACACAAAATTCTCTGAGAATATATTTGATGCTCTGCTGATATATTACCCAATAGAGATGTTCAATCCCCCAGAGAAGCTCCTGAGGCTGTCTTGTGAAATAATTTTAAAATTATTTTGAGAAATCTTATTTTAAAATTAGATGAAAAAGTACCCACTCTTCCAGAAATGTAAAACAAACTCTCAGATATCTTCTCCAATAGAACTATTTACTCTATAAATTTGGGTCATTTTTAATTAAAAAATTAATTGAGTCATTTATTCATTTAAATATCTTGAATATGTCATTTTTAATGAGAAAACAGATATTTTTCTTTCTTTTGTGTGTGTGTGTGTGTGTGTGTGTGTGTGTGTGTGTGTGTGTGTGTATTCAGGCATGAAGGGCAGCCAGACTGAAAAGTCAGTAGACTGGAGAAGGCCTTGTCTATTAAACCTATAGATTTCCAATTTTGCTACTTGTGACGAATCATGTTTTACAGGGAAAAAAAAAATTCCTACCTTTATTATGTTTGAATGAATCAGAAGATCCCGACTTCCTATTCCTCTTCTCCCAAATTTGCTGTCCACACTAATCCACTCACTTTTAAGTTTATAGAGAGTTTACTCATGACCCATGCTTCCCAAAGTCATTCTATTGGTAGAACACCTATTCAACTGCTGTGCAGAGATATCATGGTAAAAATGGCAGATTAGCTGAGTTATCAGGGAAAATTTTTATTCCTTTTGAGCCTCTTTTTCCTACCTGTGACAGGGTGGAATACTGCCCATCTTTGAGGGCTTCTGTGATAAGGAATGATAATGCCACCACCTACGTGTGCCTGGCACTTAGCAGGTACTTAAAAAATTAAACCCAGTATATATAGAGAGAGACAAAGATATATGTATATCTCGCATTTTATAATTTACAAAGGATCTGTGTGTTTCCATACTCTGCTCTGGTCCTCACTATAGGAGGGATCTCCTCCCTGGAATCCATCCACAAGCAACAATGGTCCTTTACAGAGTCCTCTAAATTATTCAGCATGTTATTATATGAGTTTTTAGTTCTACTTCTTAATACATTACTATGCAGTAATGCTTGTAAGGGCAAAGTAACCATCATCTTTCCACACTATCTTATTATAAAATATAGAAATAGGGCTTTGGGGGCTGGCTCTTGGGCAGGGAGTCATGAGAGAACCATGAAAGGAATCTTAATGTTCTCTTTAAAAACTATTATTCTATTATATTGAAAAACAAAGGAGTTTGATTTTCTGTAGATGAAATCTACACTCAAACACGCCTTCACTTTACTATAATATAATCAAATCTGAAAGTTCCAAAGTTTATTGTTACAGACCAGATCTTTTGTAGCTGCTTTCAAACCAAAAATAGTTTTAAAAATGAGAGAATCAGAGATTGAATTATCTCAAAGTAATTATTCTATATTTTTATAATTTTGAAAAATATAAATCATGAATTACAGCCAATAATTTATTCTATACTTCATTCAGTATCAGAGAATCAACTCTTTTGTTTCTCTAACACATTAGAATTTTTTTAAAGAGCGCTAAAATTCTTTTTATTAATAAATCCATTAGCAAGTAATAATAATCTATTTTGACATAGCCCTAACCACAACATTGGAGGTGGTCCCAGTTTAGGATACATTTCATCAAAATAGGAAGAATCAGAATTATGAAAAAAAATATTTAAAATATGATGGGTGGGCCTTACCCCAAACTCCTCAGTCAGAATCACTGGTTGGGGAGTGTGTAGAGGGTAGCTGCTAGAAACCCTTGTTTATCTACCTTTTCACTGTGATTCTCTCAAGAAGCCTGGTGTCAGACCTATTACTATTACAGACACTTGGTTAACACTAGATGATACCCCAAACGGGGACAATAATCAAGCAGCAGTTAGGGCAAAGGAAAAGCCAATGATGTTGGAGGATGTTTAGGCTGTTTCCTGTTTTTTTTTTTTAATTTTTAAAAGATTTTATTTACTTATTTGACAGAGAGAGAGAGAGAGCACAAGCAGGGGGAGCAGCAGAGGGAGAGGGAGAAACAGACTCCCCATTAAGCAAGGAGCCTGATGCAGGACATGATCCCAGGACTCTGGGATCATGACCTGAGCCAAAGGCAGATGCTTAACCGACCGAGCCACCCAAGGGCCCCTAGGCTGTTTCCTGTTTTAACAGTGCTTAGCAGGATAATCCCAAATCAGACGTCTTTTTAGAAATTGGACTGACAGTGTAACTTCCTGTCTCTGGTTTCCACCCCCATAAGTTTCACCTACGTCCCTTGTGCTGAACATTTAGGAAAATGTTTATTTGGAAAAATTAAACAAAAAAACAAAAAAACACATTTTTTTCTGGGCAAATAATTCATGCAATTAAAGCCAAAAATAAATAGATTTACATCTCTTTGGGCCAAACAATGAGGATTAATACAGAAGTTGATTCTAAATAAGAAAATGTCTTAGGTCATTCTTTCAGATTATAAATCTTTTTCTTTTTTTAAGATTTTATTTATTTGAGAGGGCGAAAGCCCATGCATGCAAGAAAGCACGAGGCGGGGAGAGGGGCAGAGGGAGAGGGAGGAGTGGACTCCTCACTGAGCAGGGACCCCTTCCCCACCCCCTTCTCCCCATTCCCGGAGCTCCATCCCAGGACCCTGGGGTCATGACCTGAGCCGAAGGCAGACACTTAACCAACTGGCCACCCAGGCGCCCCTCAGATTATAAATCTTAAGAAAAAGTGTAGTTAAGAGATTTAATGATTATCTATAGAGTCCATTGCCAGAAGAATAGTATCATTTAATTTTAGTGAAAAAATACTCTGAGCCCAGGAAAATTTCACATCTTTGATCTTTGCTTGATTTCTCCAATGTGTATCCACTTCTCTCACAACCCTATAATAAAAAATATTAAGTATCTTAAAAGAATAACCTAGTTACATAATCCAGATTATTACTTGGAAGGAAAATTATATAAAATTTTTGAGTGGGACAAATTTAAGTTACAAATTAGTTCTGTTCCTATATTTAAAATACATGTGATCAGGCTGCTACCAAAAAAAAAAAAAAAAAGATATACCTAAGAACTTAGAATTTCACATGGTAACATTCAGTTCCATGCTTTTTCACCACCATGCCATCCTCCTTTTGTTCAAAATACAGCTTTGCTTTTCAGTATTCAGGATTTTGTTTGTTTTCATTATGATTATGCATACGTTAATTTCAATCTCAGCTCATCCTTCATTTACCCAAAATATACTAGGACCAGCCAAGATCAGGCTCCACAAACTCCCTCCTCCAAGCACTTCCATGTTATTGTGCCAAAAGCAACGCAGGTTTCCTAGCATCAAGGGTTTTGAGGACTGAAGGACCCTAAGGATCCTGTCCAGAAAGGGTGCACTTCAGAGACCCTCTCTGTAACTTCCCTGCCGGTGCATGGCCCTGCTCTTTGGCACACTCAAAGTCAAGGTAATCATGGCCCCTGGAGGCAGCCCTGCCCATTGCCGGAGAGCATCGGTGGTTCGAGAGTTTTTCCTTGTGTCCAGACTTGCTATGTGAAGCTGAACAAATCACAGCATCTTTTAGTGAGTTTCCCCAAGTATGAAGAGTGAGCACTTCAAAGGTCATACAAATCACAGAATTCTTCCTAATTAATTAAATGGCAGGAACAGGAATAAAACGTTTGCCTGTAACAGCTTTGGGTCTAAAGGATCTTATCTAACTGGTGGTGTTTATGTTTTAAAGGCAGAGGTGGCAATTTTTTCACACCGCAACAAAGAATTTTCAGTGCTCCTGAGTAGTGGCTCTGCATCCTACTCTGTGGGGGCAACTCACTCCTCAACCCCCTGCTAACCAGCGTCTGCCACAGGAGGCTTGGCTTGGCACTTACAGAGCTGTCCCCAAATGTCCACTGTTTCCCCCAAACCACCACTGTTAGTCAGTCTCGCCTCGTCATGTCCGTCTCTGTGTTTTTGTCACTGTTGCCCCATTTCCATCTTTTGCAAATTCTCTTCTCTCTTAGCCCCAGGGACAACACAGCCCTGATTCTCCTTTGCCACTTTCTGACCATTCTTTTGTCTCATTCTTTGGCTCTTTCTCCATGCCCATTCTTTGACTCCCTTGTCTTTGCCAGGAAGAATCTGTACCTGAGCTGTCCTTCCCTCCTGGTCACTAATTCACTATGTGGTCTTACATAACCCACAATCTTCTCTGGGCTTCATTTGTCCCTGAGAAAGAGAAGGAGGTGGACTTGACAGTTCAAAAAGTCCCTTAGGGCTATGCAGCACTAGGCGAGGCTAACAACCCCACTCCTGTGTTCCATCGGTATGTGGGACAGTTTCCGAGAGCCCGTACAAGTCTGTGGTGGAGACAAGGCCACCCGGACATCATCACTTCCAGCGTGGGGAGGAACCTAAAACATCACCTTGCCTGCAATCTTCATTTTATAGCTGAGGGAATCAGGTCCAGAAGGAGTACTTGATCACCTCACAGCAGACGTGGGAACAAAGAGGAGGTCGCCTGGGCTCTCAGTGTGCTGCAGAATTGGGGCTTAGGTGTCTTCCACACCTGGCTGAAGTACATAATGACATCAGAGTAAAGTGTCATAGAGAAGGCATAAATTGGGTAGAACACTTTAGAGCCTTTCTCCCTCTTTGACAAGATGAACTCTATGTTGTAACTCCAAAAAATCTAGAGAGATGCTTGCTAGAGAGGGTGCTTTAGACAAAGCAGAACAATCTGACCACATAAAACATCTTAGATTTATGTTTTTAAATAGCCAAATAAAACAGAACATCAAGTCACAGAATACATGTATTTACATTAATTCAAATGTCCAAAGCACAATACAGTAGGATCTATTTAATAGTTCATATAATTTGATTTACATATACACGAGCATATGAACAAATATTAGTCAGCTAGAACAAAGGGTTAAGAAGTTACTCATTTTGGTACTGACACCTACATATTTATGGCAACAAATGACAATAACTTTCAACTTTCAATAAGATCTTTTGTGCAAGGATAAGAAATGTACAGAATGGAAAGAAGACAGTCAAACAAATGTACCTTTATTGCACTATTTATCTAACAGCATTTGGGATGTGGCATTATCCAGCAAATCTTATCAGTGTAGTCTGTTTACTGCAGTCTCGAATGATGAAATTAGCTGAATTATTCCCAAATCTAAACTGACTTTGTGCTTTGTAAGTGCCTTTTGGTTCTTCCTTCTACATCTTTTAAAAAATGAAATAGGACGCTAATGCTTTTCTTTAAAATAACTTTGGTCCTAAGAAGCTAGTAAAGTCTCTTTTTAAGGAACACCAATACATGAAATTTAATATTTCTTTCAAGAATCCTGAGCAAAAAGGCAAGGTCACCTCCAGACCAGCTTCGAAATTATCAGTGCCGCTAAAGTCTAAGTGTTATCTAGGACTTAAACTTTGGAAAACAACTCCATCTTTCTCTGGCAAATTGAGGAATCAAAGTGCACCTTACCACATTTCCTAGTAACCATTTAAAGAGGCCATTTGGTTGCATTTCAAAACACAAAACAACACCATTTCTGTCCTGCTGTTTATTTTGCAGACTGCACAGAAAGTTAAGTATGGAATAATTAAATTACTACAGCATATGGAGACAGGCACAAAATTAAGTGGACGCCACAAAGGGTGTGTCTGAAAACACGGAATTGACCGAATCGGAGTCGGATTTCACTCTCGTGGACTTCAGGATGCCCTCGGCTATGACCGGTTCACTGGGAAAGAGCCTGACTTTCCCATTCTGCCCGGCAGCGGGATCCTTCAGGGGTTCCAAAAACACCACTCTTTTAGCGGCACCTGCCTTCCGTTCGTCAGCGGGGGCGTCGCTAGCAGGGCCGGGATTGAGAATAGACGCATGGGCATTGCTTTGGTTGAGAGTATTTTTCTGTCTCTTGGTTTTACACTTGCAGGGACACGGCGTCAGATAGAGGTACAAGAGTACCAAAACGATACTGGCCACGCAGGCTGCGAGGGTGGTGAAAGCTGTGTTAAATGCCTCATGGGCGTGGGATCTGTTTACGGTGAAATTGCTCACGTTGATTGTGACATCCACAGTCTCATTTAACAGGCGCTGCCTGTTCATGGCAATACAGGAATACACTCCAGCGTCCTCAAAACGAGGACTTTCTATAACCAGACTTCCATTGTGAAACACGTGAAAGTTTTCCAGCTCTTTATCGGGCTCCAGCAGTCTGTTATCCGGACTGACCCAAATGAAATCGGTATTTGCACTGCCAGTCTTGCTGTCACAGGGGACAATCAGCCTTTCCCCAACTTGAGCCTCATGAATAAAGCCAAGTGCACGGAAGGAGCCATTGATGATGCTGTCCGAGCAATTCATAAAGCTATCCTGAAGCAGAAGCACCTGATGGGAGTGCTTAGAGTCAGACCACAGGCGACAGGTATAATCATTCTTAAAATCCATTACTGAGCTAAAGTGCCTGCGATACCAAAAGATCAGCAATGAATGAAGGGAACAGTTACAGACAAATGGGTTTCCATGAAGGTAGATGCCTCTCAGCTGTTTTCCTGGTACTAAATTAATATGGTGCATTGGCAGGGAGGGGATTTGGTTATAAGAAACATCTAGAAACATCAGTTCTGCCAGCTTGAACCTTCCAACATACAAATCCATGGGAAACTGGGTAAGAAAGTTTCCACTTAAGTAGAGTTTTTGCAACTGGGAGAGCCCTCCAAAAGCTGAAGGATCGAGATAGGAAATGTGATTGTTGTAAAGCAGGAGCACTTCCAGAACCTTCAACTCTTGGAACACTGCACTTTTCACCGTCTTCAGCTTATTGGAGGATAAGTCAAGACAATTCAAATTTGGAGTTGTGGAGAAACTGCCTGTGGCAATGCTGGTGATGTTGTTATGACGGATAATTAGGGTGTTCAGCTTCACAAATGATACTGGAATCCACTCAGCATCCAGAAGCCCGATCCTGTTATAGCTTAGATCCAGCCTCTTAATCAGTCTGAAAAGGTTCCCGGGCACCTTGGACAGGTTTTTGTTGGTGCAGCTCACGATGTCCGTGGCACAGATGCAGGCGGTGGGGCACACCCCGGAGGCGCCGCGGCTCACGGTCACCGTGATCACCAACAAACACAGCAGCTCCCTGCAGCCCGGTCTCACAACTCCAGGCAGGGTGGGCAGCGTGTGTAAACGTAAAGACATTATGGTCGCCTCCAAGTCTCTTCCTGGCGCCTTTCCACCAGCTCAGCCTCCCACCAGTGAACCTGGTAAACAATCAATATTTGAAAGCGGTGAGGGGGAAAGCAAAGTTAACTACCACCAGTTAACCCTTAAGAGTCGTATCTTGCTTTCTTTTCAATAACTTTTGAAATGCAGGTTGTGTGTCACGCTGGGGGAGCATACGATGGTTTTTTACTGTTAAATGCAATTTATTTTCCTGGGGTGCTCCTGCTTACAGCCATTTACGGTCACAATCTATCAACACAACCGTCTCAACATCAGAAATTAAGTTTTGTGTTTTTTTTTTTAACGTGCAGGCTGCGTCGTTTTTTAAACTCACTGCAACAGACACAGAAATACACAAAACGCATCCTACAAACAAACGGAAATGCACAGGAAGCCACCCATCCAGAAACTCACAGAGCTGAAAAGCCTCCTCACTGGCTCTGGCGATAGGCCGCCAACGGTGGTGTCTTCGGAAGGTCTGCGAGTCTGTCTGTCTCGGTCCGTCACTCCTGCATCTTCCGAGTTCCTTTCCCTTCTGCTCCGGCGGGCGGCAGCCTCTCGCTGGCTCTCAACTTTGGGGAGTTTCAAGCAGCCGCGGCGGCAGCGGCCACCCCGGGCGCAGGAAACGTCTCGGTCGGCTCCGATGGGTTCTCCCCGGCTCTCTTCATTGCTCGGCTAAAGGTACCGCCTCGGCGCCCTGGCCGTTGCGTGTCCCGGCGCGGGGCGCCCCACTCCCGGAGCCGTGTCCGAGGGGCGGGGGTGCCGGCAGCGGGTCGGTCCCAGCCCCGCCTCCCCGGGCTCCGGAGCCAGCAGGACCCGGGGTTCCCGCGCGCCGCCGCCCGGGTTTTATCCCCGTGCACGGGGTCGGCAGCGGGGCGGGGAGACGGTCCCGCCCCTTCGCGTCCTCCCTCCGGCTAGAAGCAGCTCCGAGGCTGCGGGCGGGAGCCGGCTGGGCGCACGGCGGGGGGCGCGCGGCGCCGGGAGGGGGCGGCGGCGCAGCCAATCGGAGCGGCGGCCGGCATCCCTTTCACCCCCCACCCCGCGGCCTTGCCGTCACCTCCTGCCTCCGGGAAGACGGACGCGGCGGAGTGGGGTGTGCGCCCGAAGCTCAGCCATGCCCACCCGCTGTGTGCGCGTGTCCAGCCCCGAATGAGGTGGTGGGGAGGGGGCTCAGGGGGCACGCCCAGCCAGGAAAGGAGAGGTCTCTCCCTTGAAGACCCCACTGTCGCGGCCGCCCGGGTCCACTGAGCTCCCTGACCTCTTGTAGCTTTCTTTGGGCCAGGGCCAAGGAGGCTTCCACAGGGCTAAGTGCAGCGGGTTTTAAAGGTTTTGAAAATAAACACAGAAGTGGACTTCCGTCTCCGCCCACGTTTGGGGGGGGGCGGTGTAGAGAAATGGGCACTTTCCCTCCTGTGCGACCAAGATCTCTGTTTGGGGGAAGGAACCGGGAAGGCGCTGCGGGGACACGCCGCACCTCCCTAGGAAAGTTCTATCCCTTTCCTAACTCAGGAGGCGGCATCGAGGATGGTGCCCAGTCGGAAAAGGAGAAGCACAGGAAAGAAGGCCTGGGGCCGACCTTCTGGCTGGAATGCAAAGATAAGGGTATTGAGCTTAAAAAAAAAAAAAAAAAATCCCCCCCCGGAGCCAGACTTTTTTTTTTTTTTTTTTTTTAGGGGTTTGGAGTTGGGGTGGGGTGGAGGTAAATGTGTTCATGCCGGATAGGGACTGATCCTAGAACGGGTACCTGCGCGGGCGTTCTACATACTTCCCGTGAGACAGGCGGGCGCCGGACTCCTCAAGGGTGCTTTGGTCTAGCAGGCTAGGAAAGGTACAACCCAGGGTGGACACACCGCCTACCGCTCCCCCCGCCCCCGAAAAAAGCCCAGGCGGACAAATACAAGGTGGAGGGTTTGGGGTTGATGAGCTTTTCGATTAAAAATCCGTTTTTGTTTAATTCCAAGATCAGTTTTAACGATGGGATTTGAATGAGCCAGATGGCCCGTTTGTCCATTATATCTGGATTAAAAAAAATAAATTACTGCCCTGACAAGAGATAACTAAGTAAAGCAGAAGGGATAGGGAGACTGAAAAGCAGACCAAATTGAGAACACAGGAGCAGGGCACATAACTTGTAATATTACTTAAAAAATAAAACTGATGTTACAACAACCAACTCCCCCACCCCACCCCTCCCCCACAAATACACTTGAGCAACCTTGAATTTAGTGGGAGTTGGTCCCTACATTGTTCATGAATGGATTCATGTGCTAGCACAGATCTGTTAGGCCAGTGCCAAATTTAAATAGAACTGTCTGTGTGCATTGTTAATTTAGTCAGCCTGTTTGTGGAATCAATCTGGAATAGCACTGGTAAATCAAGATTTTTTTTTTCAGGTGAAAGCAGCTTGATTCAGGGTAGTTTCAGTTTCATGAAAAGTAGAATTTTATCCTAAGAAGAATGCAGCCTGCCATGCTCTAGGAAAGCTTCCTCACTGTGAGCTCCCAAGAGAGGCTGAGGTTGAAAGTTTCCAAAGTGAGGCCACACTTCCCCGGGGTTCTCAAAAAGCGGGGTCTCCAGGCCTTCATTTTTACAGTTAAAATGGTTAACACAGAGAAATGGAATTGAAAGCACTCAGAGGAATGCTTTCTAACTGACTGACAAACAGGCTTTCGTAACGTTTTACTAAGGAACTAACATCCTATTCAAAGGAAACCATGCAGGCGGAGAAAGTCCTGTACATCCTAGGAAAGTAGTGTCAAAAGAAAAGGGACTCAAGCATGGATGCAGACTAAGTCCCTCTAGGTCTAGGGGCATCCTAGAAACGCATACGAAAATTACACAGCAGAAATAAACCAAATGCACTCAAAATCCACACACGCTTATCTATTTGAAGGCCTGATTTTTGAGATTCTGCCCATTTGGCAATAGGAAAGGAGTTTTGAAAGGGGTGGGTTTACTTGGCTTTGAGAAGAAAAAGCTGAGCATCTACCTTAATTTGGGGTCTAAGATGTGACCTTATGTTGTGGAGGGAACTTTGTCTACATCCTTTCACCTCTCCGGCCAGATCCTCTCTTTCCATTAGAAGGGAGGTTCCACAAGGGCAGAAATGTTATGTCTTGGACACTGCTCTATTCTTAGCTTCTAGAACTCTGCTTGACACTTGCTTGGCATTCAGTAAATTTTTGATAAATAAACTGAGGAATGGGGAACTTATTCTAGGCCTATTTGAGCTGAGTCTGCTGGTTGATATTCCACTCTCTATACTTCAAAAATCTTGTCAGAAAGACCGAAGAGAAGAGAGGGGAAAGAGGAGCCCTGCAAACATGACTTGAGTCCTAGATCCAGGGGTACCTGAAGGCCACTGCCCACTTTTACTTCCTTTCTAATTACATTCTCCACCCCCCTTTTTTTTCTTAAATTATATTGAGTTGCGTCCATGTCCCTGTGACTGCAAGAGTCCTAGTGCGTGTAATGATGGTGATAATAAATATGTATTGGGCTATTAGGATGTGCTAGATACTGAACTCTGTGTTTCACATGAATTATTTCATTTACTGCTCGCCATAACCCGGCAACATTATGTAATCCTATAATCCAGATGGTAAACAACTGTGTTCCAAATTATTTGAAAATGGAATGGGATGAAATTAGCTTGAGGCTCCATTTGAAGGATTTAGATTAAACTGAAAAGAGATGTTTCTGACGGGGTGGCTCCAGGCTGGAATGGTTGCCAAGACAGATGGTTGAGTTGCCTTCTCAGAAGTTTAAAATAGGACAGATAGATATTCTTCTGGTCTTTTCCACACGGCACAGTCTTGGTATTTTTGACCATTCAATGACTCCAGTGGATAGTAGCAAGTGGATTGATTCTGAAATGAGTGTGCTGAGGCAGGGGTGAATGTGTGAGAGTGTCTGGCTGGGTCTGCAAGTAACTCCGACCTGGGGGCAGGTATTTAGGTAGATGAAATCTCAGGGCTTTCTCCTATTGTAATCAAGGACTTAAGGCCTCAGAGATATGAAACAGGAAATGGTTATAGCACTAGTTTATGATTCAGAGTCCTTTTTACTAAGAATAAACACTTTAATGGCACTTTATATCCTGGGAAGGGCTTGCCCATTCTGTGTCTCCTTAGATTCTAGCACCCATCCTGTGAGCAGGTGTAGTTGGGACACCAGCAGATATCTAACATGGCCTCCTTTTTTCACCTGGGGACACATCGGGTGTTCATCAGGAACAGCCCCCTGGGGTCTCCAACTCTGCGGGCTCCTGACAGTTGCACACAGGAGCTTTCTGCCCAGCCCTCCTCCCTTTGGGGGCAGCACCGTGCAGAGGATTTTTACAGTGTGGCTGGAGCTCTGCCCACCAACTCTGGAAGTGTACTCCGCTCCTGTAAAAGTCTGTTTTTCTTTTGGCCTCGTCCAGTTGGTTTTTGTAAATTGCCCAGGACTTGTAGTGGAACCAGATTTCTCACCCAGTACTATGTCACTGGCTGTATGGAGGTTCAGGCTCCAGCCCCGTGTTCTCTGAACTCCAGGGGCCATGGGTCAACTGATGGCTTGGTTCTCTGGAAGCTTCCTTGGCTAGAAATGCGGGCTAGTCAGTTACCCCCATGCCCTCTCCAGGGAGAGCCCAGAATGGGGGGCAACTCTTTGAGCAATTCTCACTCACTCATCTGTTCTATCTCTTGTCTTCAAGGATATAGGCTGCATAGGTTGTTTCTTTTTCTTTCTTTCTTTCTTTTTTTTTTTTAGTTTAGTTGAGATGAAATTCACATAAACAAAACTTACCTTTTTTCACCTTTGAAGATCATCTGAAAGAGTATATACTTATTTCATAACGGTAGGTTTATAGAATTGTCTTCTTTCCCCATCTGCATTTTCTATTTTCTTTACAATGTTTTTGTGATAAGAAAAAGCACAATGAGTACTTGCAATTGTTTAAAGTTACCTGTGACTAAGTTCTGTGCATCCATGTTTCTGCTTTATTGTGATTCCTATTTAATATTCAGGGACTCTAGTTTCAGAGAACAAAACCGTCCTCTGATTTCTCAGGTAAGAAGTGACTCTAATTTCCCCTGATTTGTTCTGTGTTAGTACTACAATCCTTTATTTGGCAAATATTTACTGAACATCTACTATGTGCCAGACACTATTCTTTAGTCTGAAAATTAGAGCCATACATAAAGGCTGCCATAGCCATGCAAGCCAAACTAGAATGAGAGGCATACTAGTCACTCATGTATTTCTTGTTGACCGATTGTCCACATCCCCAGATTTGAGGCTCAACAACCTTGGCTGGGGTCAACTCCCAAGAGCTATGAATCCTTCACTCTCAGTGCATTCTTAGACCAGTCTTTGTGAAGGTGGCAGGCACCTCTGCCCCACACCTCCATGTGTCCATGTGTTTTTCTGTGAGAAAGAAAAACAAAAAGAACAACTAAAGCCCCTTTTTCTTAATCCTAAAAGTACGATGTGCTCACTGTAGAAAAATTAGAAATACAGAAAAGATGTAAAGAATCAGAGAATGCCATTCATAGTCTTACTGGTAAATTACAGTTCTGCTCAAAGAATAAATCCATTGTAGTGAGGAACCTGAGTTGTTGCAAAAGGATGGTTTGTCATAATTATGTAAAGAGAAAAGAAATAAACAGACTTTGGTGTTTTTTTTTTTTTTAATGCTCTGAAATTCTCAGCCTTAGGAATGAAGTAAGCAGATGAAAATTCGCTTTATAAAATTCAGTGTGTCAAAGCCAGGCTCCTAGCATTA